AAAAAAAAAAAAACAAAGAGGAGTTAGCAAGATGCATGATGAAAACTATCCCACTTTGGCATCTCAAAGTGCGGGGATTACAGGCGTGAGCCACCGCGCCTGGCTAGTGCAGTATTTTTAAAAATCAAAATTAATGTAAAAAATCCATAATGAACAAAATATCAAAATTTTTAATTCAATATCTACTTCTGACCTTTCACAATCCTGCCTTACAATCCTGTCTCTCCTCTCTCTCGCCCTAATCCCAGCCCTGGAAACTGTATTTACAAAAACTGACAGCACCTGTTCTTCGTTTGGCAGCTGGAAAATGGGAAAGCGAAAGTAAGATGAAGGTTAGATTTGGGTTAAAATTGTTACTTTTTCTCCAACTGGGAGGGTATCAATCCTTGATGTTTCTTTAGTTGGGCTCAAAAAGGAGTAGTGGCTGGTGCGGTGGCTTATGCCTGTAATCCCAACATTTTGGGAGGCAAGGCAGGTGGATCACCCGAGGTCTGGAGTTCGAGACCAGCCTGGCTAACATGGTGAAACTCTGTCTCTACTAAAAATACAAAAATTAGCCAGGTTTGGTGGTGCATGCTGTAGTCTCAGTTACTCGGGAGGCTGAGGCAGGAGAATCGCTTGAATCCAGTAGGCGGAGGCTGCAGTGAGCTGAGATCACATCACTGTACTCCAGCCTGGCAACAGAGGGAGACGTCGTCTCATTAAAAAAAAAAAAATGTGCTTGTGAAGTGAGCAGTAAGCATGTAATCCTGTAAAGTCCAACATCTTAAACCCAGGGTACATGGAGTCCCACCTCCCCCCCACCTCACTTTCCTGCCTCCAGAATGACTACAATTTAAGCTAGTCTCTCATCAGTGTGGATGTTCTAGACTTGAAGGTGTAGTGTGAAATCAACTCCACTGATATTTATGAGTAAGCATATTCCTTTTAGCAAATATGTTATGCAGTGACTTCTGAAAAGAAGTGGGATCATTCCTCATCATGCATCCTGCTGCCTCTTCTTTGAGCCCAGCTGAAGAAACATCAGTGAACATCACCCTCCCACTTAGAGAGAAAGTGACAATTTTAACCCAGACCTAAGCTTCATCTTTCTCTTACCCACTTTCTAGAAAACACCTGCTGCTGCAAGGGCCAGGAAATGCCAGACTGGCCTTCCCTTCCTGCCTTCCCCAGCGTGGCATCCCACTGGCTTTTTCTGCCATTGCTCTCTAGGGCCTCCAGTCAATAGAAAAATAACTCAAGTGTAGCTGATTAAAAAATAAAATTTGGCCAGGTGTGGTGGCTCACCCCTGTAATTCCAACAGTTTGGGAGGGTAATGTAGGAAGATTATTTGAGGCCAGGAGTTTAAGCCTGTGCAATGGGAGAATCTACCTCTATACAAAATAAAAAAGTAAAAATTAGCTGGGTGTGGTGGTGTGTGTGCCTGTAGTCCCAGATACTTGGGAGGCTAAAGTGGAAGGATTCCCTGAGCCTGGGAGGTCAACGCTTCAGTGAGCTGTGATCAGGCCACTGCATTCAAGTCTGGGCAGCAGAGTGAGACCCTGTCTCAAGAAGAAGAAGAAAAAAAAAAAAAAAAAAGCCTGTACTCCCAGCACTTTGGGAGGCTGAGGCAGCTGGATCACCTGAGGTCAGTAGTTGGAGGCCAGCCTGGCCAACATGGCGAAACCCCATCTCTACTAAAAACATAAAAATTAGCCGGGCGTGGTGGCAGGTGCCTCTAATCCCAGCTACTGGAGAAGCTAAGGCAGGAGAATGGCTTGAACACGGGAGGCAGAGGTTGCATCACTGCACTCCAGCCTGGGTGACACAGCAAGACTCCATCTCAAAAAAAAAAAGAAGGGCTATGGCTCTTAACAGTACAATGGGGAATGAATATTAGCAGAAGGATCACTAGGACCTATATAGTCACCACACCAAAAAAAAAAAAAAAGACCTACTCTAAATATATATATATATGTATGTTTATATAACATATATAATTTGTATATATATGAATTATTGCTTTGCATTTCTATGATGTTCTTTTCTCACTTGAAAATAAGAATAACTTTTCACTGCCTTTTTTTTTTTTTGAAATGGAGTCTCACTTTGTTGCCCAGGATGGAGTGCAGTGGCACAATCTCAGCTCACTGCAACCTCCACCTCCCAGGTTCAAGCAATTCTCCTGCCTCAGCCCCCTGAGTAGCTGGGATTACAGGTGAGCGCTACCATGCCTGGCTAATTTTTTATTTTTAGTAGAGACGAGGTTTCACCACATTGGCCAGGCTGGTCTCAAACTCCTGCCCACCTCGGCCTCCCAAAGTGCTGGGATTACAGGCATGAGCCACCACACCCGGCCCTTCACTGTTTCTTTAGAAATTAGGATAAAGTTCCTTGGCCTCTCAAAAAGGCAAAACAAAACAAAAAAAACGAAAATGCCCTAAGGCATGTTTGGAAAACAATAAGACAAGCCAGTTAGATGTGACTGGATTAATAAAATCCCAGAGTAGAGCAAGAAAGGGCTGTGTATTAATAACAAGAGAATAACAAACAAAAGTTCAAGTCCTGCCCATAAGAACCAGAGAAAAGGCTCTTGGTGGAGGTGTGACTAAACTAAGAGGTAAAATCCGGCCCTCTGAATAGACTCTTAATAGGTTTAGTGGCTAACAGGTATTGAATTCAAAAGGAACTTCTTTTTATGCAACTTGAGAAGTGTTGGGATTACTTCAAGAGCAATTCTACCTGCTGGTGCTTGTCCCTCTCTAAGGGTGGCAAGGGAGGGAGCCATGTGGGCAGCAGGAACGGGTACACGATAGCATAAGAAGGAAAACAAAGGCTCTCTGGTTGGAGTTTGTAAGCTGATTGGGGGTGTCATTTGACCCTTATAGGTACATGTGACCCTTATTGGTACATTTTTTTTTTTTTCAACTCAAGCCTGCAGCTCATCATGTCAAGGGCAGGGTGTCAGGACTGTGGTTGAAGATGAAGCAAGCAGCTCAGTGAAGTGTGCACAGCAAAGGTATGGAATTCACATGGGGCAGGAGTGCTGTCTAAACTTCTCTGCAGAGGTTAGGATTGAAGCTTTTGGTAGCTCACCTGTACTGTGTACTTACAGTGAATGCTGAGGCTGTAACTTGGCCTCTTAGCAATGTGACTTAGGCAGGTGAGTGCACTGTAGGTGAAGACTTCAGCATCTTTAGCTTTTACATTTCTTTCTCTCACCTTCTCCCAAAAGAACTCAAACAAGGTTGTTATGGTTTGAATTGTGTCCCCAAATAAAATATGTTGAAGTACCTAACTCCCTAGGACCTCAGAATGTGACCTTATTTGGAAATCGGGTCATTGCAGATATAATTAATGCACATAAGATGAGGTCATATTGGAGCAGAGTGTCCTTATAAGACAGCTATGCAAAGACGGACGCACACAGGGAAAATGCCATGTGATGAGGAAGGCAGAGGTGGGAGTTATGCAGCTGCAAGCCAAGGGGATTGCCAGAGATTGCCAGCAAATCACCAGAGGCTATGAAGAGACACAGAAGGACTCCCCTGCAGCCCTGCTGATATCTTAATTTCATACTTCCAGCCTCCAGAACTGTGAGACACAATTTTTTCTTTTTCTTTCTTTTTTTTTTTTTTGAGATAGAATCTTGCTCTATCACCCAGTCTGGAGTGCAGTCGCATAATCTTGGCTTACTGCAACCTCTGCCTCCAGGGTTAAGCAGTTCCCTGCCTCAGCCTCCTGGGTAGCTGGGATTACAGGCGCCCACCACCACTCCTGGCTAATTTTTGTATTTTTAGTAGAGATGGGGTTTCAGCATCTTAGCCAGGCTGGTTTTGAACTCCTGAGCTCGTGATCCACCTGCCTCGGCCTCCCAAAGTGCTGGGATTACAGGCATGAGCTACCTGGCCAAATTTTTGTTCTTTTAAGTCTTCCAGTTTCTGGTACTTTGTTACGGTTTATGGCAACCCTAGCAAACTAATACAAAGTCCTGACATGAGTATCTTGAATAATACTTCAGTAGATGTTCAGTATTTGTCTATTTACTGACGTTTGGCCAAAAAAGCAACTGAGTTACTGAGGCTGCTTTAGATAGTCAGTTTGCTGATCACATCTGTTACAACACTTAGCTTCATTTTGCCACAAGTATGTTCAACAGCCATCCAGATCTCAGACTACATAAAGAACCTTGCATTGCAGAATGAAATGTAGCTCAGGACTCTTCGACTGCAAACAAGACAGTAAGCCTGATTCTACATGTTTTACAATGTTTAGATACACAGGGGGATGGGCAAAAAATTAGATACAGTATTTTTTCATATGTTTAGAATCTGAGGGCCAGGCATAGTGGCTCACACCTGTAATCCCAGCAATTTGGGAGGCTGAGGCGGGCAGATCATCTGAGATGAGGAGTTCGAGACCAGCCTGACCAACATGAAGAAACCATATCTCTACTAAAAATACAAAATTAGCCAGATGTGGTGGCACATGCCTGTAATCTCAGCTACTCAGGAGGCTGAGGCAGGAGAATTGCTTGAACCTGAGAGGCGGTGGTTGTGGTGAGCCGAGATCACACCATTGGGCAACAAGAACAAAACTCTATGTCCAAAAAAAAAATCTGAGTTTGGACTCAGACAAATAGAAAAAATACCCATACCCTATCACTTGTTTTTTAAAATTAATATTATTTTTAATTGACAGGTCATAATTGTATACATTTATGGGGTACAGTGTGATGTTTTGATATATGTATACAAGGTGGAATGATTAAAAGCAAGCTATTCCATCACCCCAGTTATTTTTGTAGTAAGAAATCTGAAACTTACTCTCTTAGCTATTTGAAATATACAATACATTATTATTAATTATAGTCATCCTGCTGTGCAATAGAGCTCAAAAACTTATTTATTTTTAAGGGAAACAAATGTATCCACCTTTACAGTATCATACAGAGTAGTTGCACTGCTCTAAATATTCTCCCTGCCCTGCCTATTCACCCTTCCCTTCTTTGTGTGTGTGTACATGTGTGTGTGATATACATGTACATATATATGTATGATGGCATCTTGCATATAAACCCCCATCTATGTTGGCCAAACTGGTCTTGAAATACTGGGCTCAAGTGATCCTCTTACCTCGGCCTCCCAGAGTGTTGGGATTACAGGCATGAGGTACTATACCCAGCCCTTCCCTTCTTCTTAACTTCTGGCAACGACTAATCTTTCTGCTGTCACTATGGCTTTTTCTTTTCCAGAATGTCAAACAACTGAAGTCATACAGTATGTAGGCCTTATGAGAGTTACTTCTTTTACTTAGTCATATGCACTTAAGTTATTGCCATGTCTTTGTGTGGCTTGATAACTAATTTTCTTTTTAGCACTGAATAGTATTTCATTGTCTGGATGTACCAGTTTGTTTATCCATTCACTGACTGAAGGACATCTTGGTGGCTTTCAAGTTCTGGCAATTATGAATAAAGCTGCTATAAACATCTTTGTGCAAGGTTTTTTTGCGGGCATGAGTTTTCAGCTCATTTGGGTAGAGCTGAAATGTGGAGTGCAGTTACTGGATTGTATGGTTAGTGTGTGTTTAATTTTATAAGAAACAAACTGTCTTCCAAAGTATCTGTACCATTTTGGGATTCCACCAGTAATGAATGAGAGTTCCTGTTGCTCCATATACTCAGAGCCATTTGGTGTTGTCAGGGTTTTGGATTTGAGTCATTCTAAAAGGTGTGCTGCTTCTAGGAATTTAAGGTACATTTAAAGTCCCACATGTGTAGAATGATAAATATATACAAAGAAACTTTCTGAAATATTGTTTGTAATAGCAAAAGACTGGAAACTGCTTTCCAGCATTAGTGCATTAGTTAAATAAATTGTGGTATGCCCAGGCAATGGAAGATAATGTGATCCTCAGAAAGAATGAGGCAGCTCTATACATGCTCACTTGGTACCATACCCTAACATGTACAATGAAAAAAGCAAGGTGCAGGATTGTGTGTACAGCATGCTGTATTGTGCACACAGGATGAATAGGCAAAGCACATATTACATAAATATGGCCATATTTGTGTAAAAAATTAAAAATGTATAAATGTCCCCATACATGCTCTTATATTCATGTGTTCAATGAATGTCTTTGGAAGGATACACCAAGACCTCTGGGGAGAAGTAAATAACTGAAGTATAAGAGTATGTGTTCCTGGCCGGGCGCGGTGGCTCACGCCTGTAATCCCAGCACTTTGGGAGGCCGAGACGGGTGGATCACAAGGTCAAGAGATCGAG